AAGCAAGAAGTAATCAAACACTTTTTGGCAAGAGTATTATGTCTAATATGTCTTCCTATTGTATTTTATATGGCAATTTTTTACATTCATCTCAGGGTTTTATATAAAAGGTAATTTCATATTGTAATGTATCTAATTATACTATTGCATAACTCAAGCTTGATGACAATTCAAATTTTTAACATAAAATATACTTCTAATTTTTTCCTACCACTAAAGCAGTATATGAACTTTGAATAATTAATTTTGAGCTTTTTTTCTTGATTTTATCAATAAATTTTAGTAATATTTGATTCTTATTTTTACTCATAATAAATTAAATGAAAAATTGTAAATTTTTCCTTGGTTTGTTAAAATACACATTTTATTATGAACTGTTAAATGTTTCATTTTAATTAGATAGTATTAATATTAACATAAAATAAAATTATTGTAATTACTATATTGAGAAATTATAAAATAATTGTAATTTTAGTGGAACAGGTGATGGATTTTTTAGTTCTGCATTCCAATCACAATTGGAAGGAAATTCATTATATCATGCTAGCATGCCAAGACGTAAGTAAAGTTTTAGTATTTATTTTCCCTAAAACAATCTATACAATTTATCATTATATATTTTAAAGAATTGGCTTATGGTGCTATCATCACTTTAAAAAATCATCGTACAGGAGGAGGATATTTACATTCACATTGGCATCTTTATCCTGAAGGTATTGGTGCTAGGCAACAACAGGTAAAATAATATTTACATACAGAATGGTAACTTGTTGGAAATAGACAATCATAAAATGATACCAATTTAGCTTCATTTTTTATAAATAAATTTATTTTGTCATATAAATAATAATAATAAAATAAACAATTATTTTATATTCTCGAAGAATTTAGATATAAATTTAACTTATTTTAAATTTCTGACAATTGACACAAGAATGATCATGTTAACCTAAATATTAAAAATTAAAGAACACATTTACTTAACAATTGGCATTAATACATACAGTATTTGCTGTAAACAACAACAACAACAACAACTCTCTCACTAGTCACCATCTTGTTGAGATGAGATGTAGCTCAGTAGTTCCAATGAACTATTGAGGAATGCTTTGGGAATATATATAAGCTTTCAGTAGAGCCAAGCATGCCATCATTTTATAAATAAACTTTAAGCAATTTGTTACTTCTAGCATTTACTGACAACAGGGAAAATGAAAAATTTATGTTAATCTCAATGATAAAACATGTAAATGAGAAAGGTGGCAACTTTAACATCATTATACCGAATGGGTATAAGTGGAAGTCAGCAGAGAGGAGGTGTATTCTAGCAACACTAGGCAAGTTGATTAGTGATTAGAAGGAATTCATTCTTGGAGGGTGATTTTTGTTAGCATTTGTTATTGCTAATTTGCTTGTTTTTGTATATATATTTCTTGTTGAATATTAATCATTGTTTACAAAAATTGTTATATTAACTATTGAATAGTAACCATTGTTTAATTGCTGATGTATTTAGCTAACGACTAAAAGTAAGAATAAATGATTAAAAGTAAGGTTAAAAAGACTAAAATTAAGAAAAAAAAGATTGAAATTAGATCAGTTACTCAGATATGCAAATTAACTCAAATTAAGAAAAAATGACTAAAATTAAGAATAAACAATTAAAATTAAGAATAAAAGACTAGAATTAAGGTTAAAAAGACAAACTTAAGATTAAAAAGTAAAAAAAATATCAACTCACCAGACACTCCAATAGCAGTCGACTGGAAAAAACAACAGTTGTTACAGAGATGGAAAATATGTCAATTGAAATGCTAGAGCAGGTGTTTAACGAGTGGTTAGAAGGGGCCAAGTCATCCCTGGACCAATCGAGGAATTTTAGGAAAACCCTGAAAGATAAAATCATTTACAAACTAGAAGAGGCTGCTTACATCTCTTCAAGCAACTAAAGCAATCACTTATTAAAATGTTTAATCAAAATCAAGACCTCCAGAATCAGTTGGACTCAGCCAGGACTTTGACATCCACGAAGCCATGCAATTCCATAAACAAGGGCAAATCTGGAAAGAAAAAACAATTAGCAAGTATTAATCATAACCAAGCATTGTTGTTCAATGTTTCACTCATTTATTAAAAATTAATTGTTTAATATTTTTTCTTTTATTTTATGTATTTACCTATTTACTAGTAGTAATTTATCCTTGCACCTTTCTGAAAACTGCTTGTCATAAATCACAATACTACTACTCAAACCTTTAAAAATGCAGTATAATTTTAATTTTCAAACATTTTCAGTCACCTTAAATGACCTTCTTCAGGACAGAAAGAACAAATTTCAATTTAAAAAGAAGAATGAAAGTGGAATTTCAGTCTTCTGAAAATTCTTAATCTAAATACATTATTTGAAGTTCTGGCATTCACAGTTTGGGTTACTTTTGTAGTTCTGTATATAAAAGAAATATTGACACCTTTCTTGGGCATTTCTAATGCAGTATAGTTTGATCTAGATAGTCTATGGTAGGAAAAAATCCTACGACTCTATTAAATAGAGAGATTGCAGACATATTTATGACATTGGAGTTGACCTACAAAAAAGACAACACTTCATTGATGTTGAAATCAGAAGCTTCAGGTTTTGGCCAGTAATCTAGAAGAGTTTTCTCAACCTAAGTCTAGATTTGGAGATTTACTAAAGTGACTTGCATAAGGAGATTGGGGTTGAACATGATTTTCCTGTCCTCTTGAAGTGCAATTGCATTTTATCAAACATATGGTCAGGATATAGTGGCAAGAACCAGGTAGTTGGTATATTAGTAAGTGGGTGTGGTTCTAATAATGCCAGTTATTACACATAAAGTCTCATTTAGCTGGTTGTCTATATTTTTTTACATGGCTACTCTTACACCAGATCAGTGCATAATACTCTGTTATAGAAAAGGCCAGAGTGAGACATGATGTAATTCCTGCCAGTCTAGATAATGGGTTATTTCTTATTACTAATTTTTTCCCTTCATAAAAACAAAACTTTGAAATTGAATTTAAAGCCATGATTTATCTTAGAATCAAGGAAATATAGTAATACAACTATAGTTATTCTATCATTTAAATAGTAGTGTTAATTAATATTAATAGTTATCATAGTAAAAGTTACCTTGAATGTCATAAATTTCTTGGTATTTTTATTTGTATATATTCCAGTAATATCTTAATTAATATAGTCATTTATGAAACATTTTAATCTGTCATATTTATGTACATTAAAGTAATATGTTAACATTCATTTAGTTAAATAGGGACTATTCTAATTATTGTGTTGCAATTTGAAAAAATTGTAGACCTATAAATTCCCATTGTCATCCTTCTGTTTGTCTTTCCCTAACCTTGAAAACGGAGTTACATAGATGAAAGTCAAGACCATACAGGGAAAGCTTAGGGGCAGGAGGCTCCAATTAACTATATACACACTTTCGATGTAAACTGGAAGTCACGTTATTTTAATTCAAAAATCTTCTGCTGAAAGGAGTTAGATAGCTACAAGGTTCTTTTGCACCTGGAAAGTCAGAGAAAATCAGAGATTTTCATTAGTGTTCAGAAAAAGTCATGGAAAGTCAGGGAATTTATCTCCTTAGCTGCCTTGTTGATTTCATTTGCTGAATATGGCTGACCAAGCATAGCTATAACACATAAACATATGCACACAGAAATGCAAAGTGCAAAAATGCAAGTTCATATTTTGTGAGGAAGGTCCTGGCTTTTCTGAAATTCTTGTTTTTTGCGATAAAGTCCTGTAGTTTCATTTGTCGTTTTTTTCTTTCCTTAAGTGAATGTTGGTAGCAGAAGATCGCATTCAAAACATCTTGTTTTGCTTTTTCACTCCTTTCAAAATCTGAATGTTTAATAAGAAAATATACCAGAATCTGTTTTGAAATAATTTTTTTTCACCGTTCTGAAGCCATATAATTTTACGGCTATGGATTAATAACAGGATAAACTACTTTTATGTAATAGTGTTTAGTTTTTAATTTTAATAATTCAGTGACTATAAAAAGATGAAATTGTTAATTAGAATAAAAAATAACTAATTAAAAATTTGTTTGCAAACTTTTAAAAGTTGAAATCATAATTTATTAGAATGTTCACTTCAAAATAGCTAAATAGATCAGTAAAAATCTGTAATTTAATCATTTTTCATGTTTAAAACATTACTATACAACAGGGATGGCCAAAACGTGGCGCATTGGACGATTACAAGTGGCGCTTGTTAGTTCTTAGCAAAATTGCCATATTTGGCTTTTTTTGCGATTAAGAATATTACATAAAAAAATAAATTTTTTATAGTCTGTCATGCAAGTTCATTTGTTGCACAATTCGTTACAGTCTATTTTGCAGATAAAATGAGTGTTCTGCACATAGTAAATTACAGTGAATGCACGTATTTTGAGTCTTGCGATTTTTATTTTCGATCAGTTTACAGGCGTGTAAATGGCCGAAAACATTTATTGTGATTAAAGTTATTCCAAGCTGATCTTGTTCTCAGTGCCAATAATTGTGGTGCAGAATAATCTTCACCAAACGACACTCTGGCAGAAATAGCACCATCATGAAACAATAGCCCTCTCGTACAGGAGATTATTGTTGACTATTGTAAATTGGTGCTTCAATAAACTGTCATAAATTAATTGATTCAACTGCGTAATAAAGTTATTCCTTTTTTTCTCCTAAGCGAAGCAGATTTATTCTTATCTGTATTTATCAGCCCCTAACATTGAACACAAGATTGTATAAAGTGTTCGAGTAATATGGCGCATCTGAACTCGTCTGTCAAAAAATTGGCGCATGGTATGCAAAAGGTTGGCCATCCCTGGCTTAGGTTAAACCTTTATGCTATTGATGGAAGATCCAAGTACTACCTCACACCGTATGAACAGATCCGGCTGGTTCGGTCCACCTTTTTGCTGCCAACGTTACGAACACAATTCTGATTTCAAATCACTCGCTAGCGTGCAACACTGTCAGACCAAACCGGTAGACTTTTCTATAAGCAGTGTCATTTCTAATACATTACTTTCCCCTCCCCGGAAATGCATATACAGGTATTTCTATTCAGGGATACTAGACCGGATGGCAAACGGCTAAGGTGGCAGCCTACTGCTCTGGGAACCAAGGATCTGATTCCAGATAGACCGAAAACCCAACTTTTTCGGGGGTTCGACCAAATATGTCGGGCTCCTTTCCATCANGCAAGTTCATTTGTTGCACAATTCGTTACAGTCTATTTTGCAGATAAAATGAGTGTTCTGCACATAGTAAATTACAGTGAATGCACGTATTTTGAGTCTTGCGATTTTTATTTCCGATCAGTTTACAGGCGTGTAAATGGCCAAAAACATTTATTGTGATTAAAGTTATTCCAAGCTGATCTTGTTCTCAGTGCCAATAATTGTGGTGCAGAATAATCTTCACCAAACGACACTCTGGCAGAAATAGCACCATCATGAAACAATAGCCCTCTCGTACAGGAGATTATTGTTGACTATTGTAAATTGGTGCTTCAATAAACTGTCATAAATTAATTGATTCAACTGCGTAATAAAGTTATTCCTTTTTTTCTCCTAAGCGAAGCAGATTTATTCTTATCTGTATTTATCAGCCCCTAACATTGAACACAAGATTGTATAAAAAGTGTTCGAGTAATATGGCGCATCTGAACTCGTCTGTCAAAAAATTGACGCATGGTATGCAAAAGGTTGGCCATCCCTGCTATACAAC